CCAGACTACCCCAGGTGCTCTCTAAGCTTGGATCAGCAAGTTCTCCCCCCATTTTGAATGTATATGAATGTATATGTTCATATGAATGTCCATATGAATGTATAAGTTCATGAAGGGAGAATGTAGGGGCCAAGCTCTTCTCATTGGTGACCAGTGATAGGACAAGGGGAATTGGGTATAAGTTGAAACAGAGGCAGTTCCATCTCCAGGTGAGGAGGAACTTCTTTACTGTGAGAGTGACAGAGCCCTGGCACAGGCTGCCCAGGGAAGTTGTGGAGTCTCCTTCTCTGGAGGTCTTCAAAACCCATCTGAATGCCGCCCTGTGCCCCGTGCTCTGGGTGTCCCTGCTGGAGCAGGAAGGTTGGACTAAATGATCTCTAGAGGTCCCTTCCAACCTCAACCATTCTGTGATTCTGTGATTTTCTAGCTGCAGTTGCCTCTTCCACGATTTAACAGGGATGAAGCTGCAGGACTTCCAAAGTGATTTCTCTAAAACCTCTGGATTTTTGTGGAGCTGATTGGCAGGTCAGTGTTGTCGCTGGGGAGATTCCCCTCTGCTTCACAGGCTTCAAATCTGATTTTTCAAGGACAGAAGTGGCCCGGTGTGCTGGCATGGCTGTCTGGGTACCAAAATCCTTGTGCAGCCAGAGCTATGAGATGGTCACCTTAACCTTCTGAGAGCCGGTGATGGGCAAAGCTCTGGAAGCTGCTCGCAGGCAGTGGCACCACAGAGACACCATTGTGGAGATGCCCCCGGCTCCCAGGGGTCCCAGGGGTGGTTTTGCTCTCAGAAATGGTGCTGTGCTTTTTCCATCCCTTATTTGGGGATGGAGGTTACTGGTTGTTCAGCCCCCCACTCCTTGCTGCCAGCGGGAGGACGTGGTGCTGGCACGGAAGTGTTATCTAGGCTGCTTGAGTCTTCTGTGGCTCTGGTCTCGGTTTTTGCAGCTCTTCCTTCTTGCACCTTCTTTTGAACCTCTTTTTTATCAGGGTTTTGAGCTGTTCCTGGTAAGGTTATCCCTTCTATGTCCTTTATTTTCTTGCAAAGTGGAAACTGGACATGTTATTTGTGCTTTTTTTTTTTTTTTTCAATTCTTGACCTAGGGAAAAAATGATTTAAAAAAAGAAAAATAAATTGTTTTGTTAAGATTAAGGCATGATGGAAAAGAGAAATGACAGGAAACTCTGTACTTGGGGCAGCAGCAGAACCAGTGCAGTGTCCCGAGAAACCCCAGTGCCTCCACAGGGGCTTTGGGAGTTTAAACTGGAGGCTCTCATGAGACCTTCCAGCTTATTCAGAAAGCAGGGCAGATAAAAGGAGGAAAACTGTTTGCTCAGAAGCTTTGTCCGCTTCTCATCCGCCCCGGAGTGGCACAGGTGGCTCAGGAGGTGGCACTCCAGGCCCCTGCCTGCCCTGCCAAAGGTTGCTCCGCAACCCTTCCCATGAAGTTGGATATTTTGGGGGACATCCTGGCCAAATGCTGGCAGGACATGGGCTTCATCCTCTGACTTGTGCCCTGCTGCTGCAGGCTGGCCTGTATGAAGCACCTTTCTGGCCTGTCCCGCAGTGCGTGGCTGTCCCCTGCGCTGGCCGTGTCCACCTTGGCAGTGACCGTGTTGCTGCAGAGGATGAAGTCGCCTCGTCCCCTGCCTGTGGGCTGTGTCCTTACTGCCTCTTCTCCTTCCTTGCTCCTCTGTATGCATATCTGCGATGCAGGACAGGCCATTTCGTCATCGTTAATTGGCCGTGGTGGGACATGAGCTGGTTGTATGCAGCAGGCTGGAGGTCGCATGCTTTGGTGCTTGCTGGGCACTTGCCTCTCTCAATAGTAATAAAGACTGCGTGGTTTCTGAGCGGCCCATAGATACTTAACCTCTCCTGGTAGAGTCTTATTACCTGGAAAATGCCTATATGTCTCTAATTAGGTGTTTGTTTTAATTACTGGGAAAGGATAAATAGGGAGGTTAAGTATAGCATCCCAGCAGCAGTGCTGGCTTTGCAGGCTCCGGCAGCCTCAGGCAGGGGAACACTACCTGGCTCGTGCAAGTGGGGACCAGATGGGTGTCCCTTGTGCAAGGCCAAGCACAACAGCTGTCCAATGATGCTGATTCTCCAGAACTGCTGTAAAAATTCACTGGAGGCTTCTCTAGTGCCCTTTCCATCAGATTAGCATGCAGGGTAAAGGACATTTCATTGTACTATATATATTCCCCATCCATCCTGGTTCATTCCCATCCCTGGGGCTGTCCAGCTGTGCCCCCGCAGCAGCCCCTTTCTGCAGCAGCTTTGGGATACAGTGGCAGTGGAGCTGGAGAAAGACTACTGTCCCCATGGGGCCAAGGAAACTGCTGTGGAGGGATGTGAGGCCTGAATGGAGCCCTTGGCCTTGGGGCGCTCTTGAGCCTGCCAGTGCATGTGCCTCCAGACTCCTCGACTGCTCCCAGCTTTGGCTGCATCCCTGAGTTTGGCACCAGGAACCCGTTCCCAAGTCCATGTTTGCGTCCTAGCAATTCCCACTTTGAGGTCTGAACCTTGCCTGGGGCGGGGAGCCTGGTCCCAATCTGCATGTCCTTCTGTCCCTGTTTGTTGCAGAACATAGAGGGCTTCCATGGAGCTGCTTTTGCTGGGTTGCTAATACCAACCACCCAAAAGGAGGCTCCTACTAACCCCAGCCTTTCAGGATAGTTCTTGAAACGTGATGTTCATATTTAATAGCTCTTGGGAACCACTCCCAAAAAAGGAAGAGAAGCCCAGAGCCTGCATCTCATTTGGAGGTTTTAACCCCGACGTGCTTTGCCTTGTGCAGCCCGTGTCTGATGTGTGAACCCCAGGCTGGTGCCTGAGGAGGAGGGCAGGGAAGGTCCAAGTTTTGTCACCTTTTCTATCTCCTACAAGCCTTGCGCATGATTCTCTCCGTTGGTACAGAGCTTGTGGGTCTGGAGGTGCTGCGCCGAGCTGGCACCGTCTCAACCTGGCGTCGTGGAGCTCGTGGCGGCAGAGCGCGGCCGGCGCGAGTGCCGCTCGCATGTGCCGCGTGGCCGCAACCTGCGCGGAGCAGCGGCTGCCACGTGGAGCGCCTTGCCGCCCCGCCGCACCAGCTGCTTCCCATTGCCGCGCAGCAGAGCTGCGCTCTGACAAATGGACGTGTCAGAGGGGCTTGATGGTTCCCAGGCCTCCCGGCCGGCCCGCTGCCCTGGCGGGCTCGGAGCGGCTCCGCCTGCCCTGCGGAGAGGAGCTTCCCATGGAGAGCAGCTCCTCGCAGCTCTCCGCAGGCGCTTGGGAGAGATGGGCTGGCTGGAGGGTGAGGGCAGCTGCCCCAGCGGGAGGGAAGTGCGTGCTCTGCCCAGCGCCTGGCCCGTGTCGTCCCAGGCCAGGGTTTTGAAAAGCTTAAGTTGCCCTGATTTGGTCCTGTTAATCCAACGGGTAAGTGGCCCCTTTGCTTGTGCTCACGTTAGCTGTCAGTGCTGCCGCTGCCTCGCAGCGTTTGGTTGCACAGGGACCCATGCAGAGCCCTGTGCATGGCTGGAGGTGAAGGCTGTGCCTCATCCTCACCTGCTCAGTGCCTGCCTGGGCTTGGCACCTGGGCACCTCGAGCAGGGTGGGAGGCAGCTCCTCCTGGCACTGGGGTGTTCAGGTGGGATCTGCCAGCAGTTCCTTGCATTTCTTCCCTCCTGCACCCCAAGTTTGGCCTTTAGTTTCCATAGAGATGTTTTCCGTATGAAGTGAGATGTATGTTAGGCTTACAGGCATCTTATTCCTTTAACAAGGTCTAGCTGGAAAGGGGAAAAGACGCCGTGTGAGTCATACTTGCCCATTTGGCCCCGAGCCAGGACATCATCTCACAGCTGCTGGCCCTCAGCTGCTAATCTTGGATGGGAATGTCCATCAGCAGCCTGGGTGTTTCCTTCGGCAACGTGTTGTGTCCCCTCTGATAACTGCAGCTCACAGCCAGCGAGCAGAGCCTCTGGCACCATAACCAGTTGGGTTTCCGTAGAAGGATTCCTGGCTTGGGGGTTTTTGAAAATTTTATTCATAGGTAGCTTGTCCTACTGGGGAGTTCTGGATGCTGAAGGGGGAACAGAGCTGTGGGACCTCTGTGATGAAGAGCTGGAAGAATATTGAATGTTTTTTGACTTCATTTGAATGTTTCCCTGCTGCAAAGGGGTGACCTGTGTGTCCAGGTTGCTCCCTGCAGCATGTGGTATAAGTGGATGATAGAAGTCGTGTCAGATCCCGTGTGATGCTGGAGCTTGATGAAAGCAGAGGTCACTGCTGTATTGGAAAATCTGTTCCCTTGAATCTCGATGCTAATTTGGTGGTGTTGCATGTATCAATCCGTCTCCTCGCTGCTTAACTTTATGGGGATGATGATTCTTACATTTGGGGATGTTCCTAAGGCCTCCCAGTTGGACCTTCCATATATGGGAGGCATCGTGTTTTTAAAGCACATTAATCTTTGGCTAAGATGTTCTCTGGGGTTGTTTTTAAGTATATGAGCTTCTATGTCTGTCACCTTTTATTTTTCGCTGTTGCACTTGTACGGATTTGCTGTTCTGAGATTGTTTTCACATTCTGGGCTTGGGCTTCGCTGGCAGCGATCCCCGGGAAGCCTGTGTTTATGTGCACGTCCTTTCAGACCTGAGGAGGAAGGTTAGGTGCCTGGAGTAGGACGTTGCTGTAGGCAGTGGACTTGCCGAGTCCTGGTGCTGCTCTGCTGTGCTGTGGTGGGGACAGTCTGATGCAGCTTTGAACACAACACTGGGGTATGACCAGCATGAAAGGCAGGATGGAGGTTTGTACCCTGAGTTATGGGGTTTATGGCTTCTCTGAAGAGACAGAGCCTGACCTCTCATTTCCCACATGCATTAAAAGATATTATTAACCTGCCCGTGATGGAGGGGAAGAGAAGCAACGAGGTTGAGTCTCAGAATATCTGTGTCTTTTGAGATGCGAAGATGGGATGATAACTAAATTCCAAATTCTGTTTACTGTCTTTCAGCTCTGAAAAGATCTTTTGAGGTCGAGGAGGTAGATCAGTCTTCAAATTCCTCCACCCCACAAAGACGGACCCCAAACCCTCTCCTCAGATCCACTGTGTCCAGCTCCACACAGAAGTTTCAGGAACTCGGTGCCAGGAATTCGGAGCCATCTGCCAGGCATGCAGACCCCACAGGCCAAAGATCACCCAAGCCCTCTCTGAGGAGAGTGGAGCTCTCTGGACCCAAACTGCCCGAGCCGGTGTCCAGAAGAACAGAAATCTCCATTGACATCTCATCCAAGCAGGTGGAGAACTCCACCTCAGGGTTATCAAGGTTTGGCCTCAAAAGAGCAGATGTGCTGGGGCATAAGCCTCCTGAGCCCACCCCGAGAAGGACTGAGATCACTCTAGGCAAGCCACAGGAGCCGGGGCTCCGGAGGGTGGATGCGCCGGTGTCCAAGATTCCAGAGATGCCCCAGCGGAGAGCTGATGCAGCCAGTGCTCCCGGGCCTGATCTGGCCACCAAGCGAGTGGAAATTCAGGTAGCCAAGGCTGCCGAGGGGCCAGCCCCGCCAGTCCGGCAGGTGGAGAATTTGGAGCCTTCTCTAAGCAGCCAGCCTCCCCCACCGGAATCAAAGCCACCACCTGTGGTGATCGAAAGCCCACCAAAGAGAGAAGAAGGTGAGTAAAACTCCGTGTAGCTGCTGGATAACGTGCTGGGTGATACCTGCCTTTGTTGGCTCTTAAGAGAAGAGGTTTTGCAAGGACTTTGAGATGCATTTGCCACTAATGGTTACTTTTCTGGCTTAAGTGGTGATGTCTTACAGTGCTGGCACTGCAGAGTCTTAGATATGTCCTCGGGGGCATTTAAATACATGTCTGTTATGTTTGGTTTTATGCTGGTTGAAAGCACTGCCAGTTTGAATAAAAATGGTACCAAGCCTATAAGAAATAGAAGGAGAAAAAGGCAGAAGCCTGAGTGCTTACAGAAGAAGACATTTGTGCCTTTTCTGTTCCTGTGTCCAGACTCATCTGCCTGTGTACGATCTCCTGAAAAGCTTCTGACTTGTGAGGAGATGTGGTTGGTGCAGAAATGCTGTTACAAGTGTTTGTTGGGTTATGTTGCTGCTTACGCTTGTGGGGCAGCAGCAGCCTCTTCATAATCCAGAGTCAGAATCTCTCTTTTTTTTTATTTTTTTTCCTTCTGGCCCCAGAGACAAAGACTGAAAACATCATGGACTAGAGCCACTATTAAACTGGAGCCCTGGCTTATGTTAGCTCTATCTTGTTTTCGATTAATCCCGTATTAGACATTAAAGCCAGCTTCCCTCCCCCACCAGCCGTCACTTATTTTCCCTAACATTTTAGACATTTTTCTCTTCTAGCTCTTTAATTATTTTTCCATTCCCCGTCACAGAATAGCTCTCCGCTCTGTGCGGCACAGCGTTCGCTGCGAGGCCGCAGCCTCCGTAGCCTCCCCACGCACACACCAGTGCATTAACTGGGGGGGTGGAGGTCTGTTTCTGAGCCCTGACCGTGGGAGGTGTGTGCCTGGTCTTTACAAAGGTCTTTGTAGCTCTTCTATCCAGTTGTAGAGCTTGGTCTGCATGGTAGGTGAAGGTGACTGATGCTAAAGGCAGCTTTTCTTCTGTTCCCTTTATTGCCATCAGCGTTTTGGGATGTAAGGCTTGCTCAGTGCAAGAAGCATCTCATCACTGTTGAATCTGGAGGACTTCCCTGCCCAGAGCTATTGGATGGAGCTGTTTGTGGGAGGAAGAGTTGCCAGGGGAGGCTACTCAAGGCTCTGCTTTGGGGCCAGCTCAGAGCCATTCTCAGTCCATTAGGCAGCTGCTCCTCGTGCTCAGGACAGGTTTTCGCTCTGACTGGTTTGTTAGCACCATCTTGTTGCTGTTACAGCCATCTGTGGAGACAGGCACTGATCCCAAGGCCTGGGATCAGTTTGGTGCTCCGTGGAAAGCAGCTCTGCTATGCAGTGTAGGTGTGTGCTTGGCCACCAGGCTGCCCGTCAGCAGTGAGTTGGAACAGTGCTCTGCTCTATCTGCTCTTCGCTGGGACAGTGGTGGTACAGCACCTGCGGTCATAGAGACATGAGGCCTCCAAAGAGGCCGTGCTTTGGGTTATCTCTTCTGTGTAGAATCAAATCAAGTGTCAGTGGTAGAGCTAGTATGAGACTTCTAAGAGGAGGTTTCTCTAACTGCAAGTAGTGTGGCCTGGGCATGGCTTTTCTCAGTTGTGTTTTAAAGCATGGAGAGAAGTGTCCACAAGGTAGCAGGCTGGTTTTGCTCTGTCTGGGCTTGGCTGGGATCTGAGAGCCAATACAACAAGTTATGGGGGGCTTAACCTGCACCCTCCCTGTAGGCTCCCTGTCCCCAAATGAGTTGTGAACGATGCCTGTCTTGTCTCTTGAGTGTGTGCTTGGCCTCGCGCTGCTGGGCTGTGGCTGCCGGGCTAAGCTCTCAGCCGCAGATGGTTGGGCACTCTGTGGAGAACAGAAGACCATCTAAGCTGCTGAATCCCAGGACAGCTGCCCATGGGGGCAAGAGAGGGGTCTTTGAATCAAAAAGGGCTCCAGAATGCTAGGACAGCTGCCAGGGATGAATTTTACCAAGCAGCCCAGCTGTCCGGGCTCCGCATTACAAAGCAAGACAAGCCGTGCTCCTCGCTGCTGGTACAAAGGGCGCTTTCAGTTGAAATGCATCCAAAAAGAGCCAGGAAACAAAGTTGAAAGGATAGGAAGGCCTCGGGCTCTTTATTTCTCCTCCTCAGCCTCATGAATAGTCCAGAGTTGCTGTAAGAGCCTGTGCCCCTTTTACCCAGGCATCTCTCTCTACTCTCACGTGAGATCCCATTTCTGGCAGTTCCTCTCCAAGATCTGCAACTGCTCAAATTCACTCCTGCCAGATGCTTAAAGGGTGTTTCGCTGCCTGCCTGGTCTAAGCGTGGGCAGGAGTTCAGGGAGGACAGAGCTCAATTGAGCCTGTTTCTGCAGGTCCTGGCCCGGGCAAGTGTAGCTGCCGAAGCCAGGAGCCGGGGGCTGCTCAGCCTGGAAGGAGATGCAGCCTCAGCAGGGTGTCCTGTGGTGTCCTTCCTATCTGGGAACCACACTACTGAGTTAGACGCTCTTCAACAGGAGTTACAGGACTCAGGAGGAAGTGCCCAGCACCCATGGAAACAAAGCAAAGAAGATCCTCAAGATCCTCAAGTAATAGTTGGTGAGAACCTCTTCCCTGGGGAAAGGGTGAAGGCGGGCAGGGAGGCCTCCTCGGATCTGGGTTTGAGGAGAGATGCTCAAGCTGGATCTTGGATTTTATTTGCAAGAGGAGGAAGTAGTCGTAAAGCTGCACATGGCCCTTAGCGTGGGACTGCGCAAAATAGCCCATGGGAAAAACGAGCTCTTCCCATCCCTCCAGGAATTGCAGAATGGGAGGATTTACGCCAGAGGTGAACCTCTCTCGGTGGCTTTGAGGGAGCTTTGATTTGGAGCCTGATGACAGCTCCGTGACTCAGCTCCCTGCAGCCCCAGGGAGGTGGCGCTTGTGGAGGGCAGCTTGGGGCAGATGCCCAGGAGAGCATTGCCGGCTTCTTTGGACACTAGGCAGCTGCTGCAGGTGACTTGATGACACTTTCCAGCTCTCCTGCATTTCTGGCCTCGTGACAACCCCCCAAAATGAAAGCTTTGCTGTGAGTCATGTGGTGGAGGCAACACACAACCTGAAGTCTTGCTTCATCTCACTGCCAAGTGCTCCTAGGATTTGGGTCACACCACGGATGCTCACATGGTGCTGGAAACTCCTTTCTCCCATGGCCCCTGCCACTCTGCAGCAGAAACAGCTGAGTAGGGGAAGCAATTACAGACTCCTCACGCCTCCAGCCCCTGCTGGGACTTGCCTTCATTTCCCCGGAGCTCCAGCTGCTGGTGGCTCAGCTGTGCTCCCTTGCTGTTAACCCCTTGTCCCAGGCAGGCTGCCTTGGCTGGAGGTATGCAGGAAAGCGTGTTGTGCAGGAAGAGGCTAGTCGGAGGAGCAGGGCAATCACCGCAAACTCAGCAATTCAGAGCAAACCACAAAGGAAAGGGATAATCACAGCACTCAGCATCATTAGGGCTGCTGCTCAGGCTGAGATCGCTCTGTAGCAGTGGTTCTCAAGGTGGGAGGAATTCAGAACGTATCGTGGTGGGGCACAACACTAAGGAAAATTTCTCCCTGGCTCTGTTTTCCCTCTCCGTCTCCTTCCCATGCCCTGCTGCACATCTTGAGGACATTCTCCACGCTCCTGCAGTTGTGCAAAGGGGTTTAACACTGGTTAGACCACTGGAAGTGGGAAGACAGGAGACAAGGCAGGTGCCGGTGACCTCTCAGCCGAGCAAATGAAGCTGAGTCTGGACTGCAGCACCGTACACAAGGACATCCCCCAAGGGTATCCAGGCTCTGCAGCTGGGGCAAGGAAATGCAGAGCTGGGCTTGGGACAGGAGAGGATAGGGAAACAAACAAGCAAAAACCCCGGTGGAAGGAAGAATCTGTGGAGGCAGGGATAGGATACATGGTGTTGGATAACAAGGATAGGGCTTGGTGTACCTGGTATTCGGGGCCGTAGCACAGGGAGCCAGCTGGAAGCTGGGGTGCAAGTTGTGGGGCTGGAGGCAGCCTGGCTGGGGCTGAGACTGACTGCTAGACTAGAACTGCGGTGAGGTGAGAGGCAACAGGTGAGATGGTTTCATAGAATCACAGAATGCATAAGGTTGGAAGGGACCTCAGAGGTCATCTAGTGCAACCCCCTGCTCACGCAGGGTCACCCAGAGCACGGGGCACTGGGCTGCATCCAAGTGGGTTTTAAACATCTCCAGAGAAGGAGACTCCACAACCTCCCTGGGCAGCCTGTTCCAGGGCTCTGGCACCCTCATTGTTAAGAAATATTTCCTTAAGTTCCTGTGGAACTTTTGGTGCTTCAATTTGTGGCCATTTCCTCTAGTTCTATCAGCGGCCACCACTGAAAAGAAGCCGCCCCATCCTCCTCACTGCCTCCCTTGAGGTATCTATAGACACTGCTCAGGTCCCCCCTCAGCCTTCTCTTCTCCAGGCTGAACAGGCCCAGCTCCCTCAGCCTTTGCTCCTAGGGCAGATGTTCCAGGCCCCTGATCATCCTGGTAGCCCTGCGCTGGACTCTCTCCAGCAGCTCCACATCCCTCTTGTACTGGGGAGCCCAGAACTGGACACAATTTGTTTGTTGCATCCAAGTAGAACAGAGAAATATGGAGCAGGGATATGCAGTGGCATTATGCACACGGAGAATGGATAAAGGCGAATAAGAGGCTCCAGCAATTAAAAAAAAAAAAAAGTTAAAAAAAAAAATAAAAATAAAAGTAGGGAAAGGTTGAGCACCTGCTGGCTCAGAGAGCACAGGGTGGTGCCGGACGTGGGCCGACGGGCCTCAAGCTGTCGGACTTCACCTAAAGAGTAATATTCAAATACAAGTTACCCACAGTGGGGTAACTATTACCTAGTTAGGTTACTATTATAGTTAGCATAATGTGGCATGTTACCTACACCTTCTTTTAGCTCCCCTTCCACGCTGCTCTGTGCTGATGTCCTGCTTCAGTAGCCCTGCAGCGTGAGGTTCCCCCTGGGCTTGGCTCCCCCACAACAGCGAGCAAGTCTGCAGA